TGGATTTTGGTTCATGTACTCTGTTGGCTCTGTGTTTCTTACTTAAAAGGTTCACTAAAATTATGATTTCAGCTTTTTCTACAACTTTTCTATGATTTCTTTTCTTCCAATTCCAGCGATCATTCTTCCTGAGCTACCGAAAGTAGCATGCATGCTCCACCTCTTAGTTTCATCTCTCTTTTTAGAATAGTTTTAATTATGGTTGTTAATTGTTTGTCCACAGTAGCATGTGATGAATGTTGAAAGAACCGTGACAGGATATTTAAAAAAGGCAAAAAAAGACTAAATTAGTGTCTGCAAAATCTGGATCATGTACTCAACCATCAGGACGTTGTTAAAAAATCTTCAAAAGCACATCATTTATACATATTTCTTTATTTGTATATAGGAAAAATTCCAAAGATGCCAGAGTTTGACAGAAATTAGATAATGTGTTTGCATCAACAAAATGATTCCCATGAAGTTGTTCACAGAAAATGTGGCGTAACTGAGCATGGAGGGCAGTGTGTCCTTCATTCATTTTTTGAAACTGGATAGATAAAGAATAGAATTAAAAAAGATCTTCAGCAAAGAAACAGAGAACATCCTTTCCAACAGACCTTAAAGATTGATGAATCCTCTCAAAGCCTGGGCCTTGACATCACTAAAGCAGTTGGAGTTCATCGTGGCAGAGAAGAGAACAAAAGCAGCCAGCATTCCAACCAGGAGCTTATGGAGGTCCTTCAAGAAGCCTGGAGAAAATTTCCTTAAAAATCCTTAAAGAGATTACAAGAAATCTTTTTTAAAAGGACTGTTTGATCAGATATTTACTTTTGAGCTCATTACAATTGAACGCTTAAATACTGTATTTCTATTCCAAGTCATTTCCAAGCAATATATGAAGAAGCCTTGACTTCCTTTGGACTTTTGTACAGTAGTTACTGCCTTTGTTTAGTGACTTTGGCAAATGAGGAAAGTATTAAGAGAAACCAGTTAAATAGTAAGCAGTAGGCACATGTTGGCCTGTTGCTTGATTGTTTTTTTTTCTGCCAGGAACTTCTGCTTCTGCATCCCTTTTGTCCCATAAAGCAGCTCATCAGAGAGCAAGATGCACTACGCTTTGGACACAGTGGACAAATTACCCTCCTCTTGTCTAGATCCCTGCTAACGCTGAATCTTCCACCCTGTCATTACTGCTGCATTAACTCATCAAGTGTACCTACACAGCACCTGAGGCACAGAGGGCACAGCGAAAGGGTGTGTGTGTGCGTAATGGTGGAGCTAACGTCTGTTCCTACCAGCAATGTGAATAGTTCCACGCGTCATTTACATTTGAGGGAGGATGAGGTCAAGGGCAGGACTGCTTTGTGTTGGGGGGGTACGGTCGGCCCAGGCTACTGTGATTGACAGGAGGAGAATGGCAAAGGTGATAGGACAACTGACTGGAGCACACACCCACAGTTGCACATCCACACACATAATAAAATGAGACAGCAAAGGACTGCAGGAGAGGGAGCTGGATGAGGCAGTAGGAGGAGGAGGGAGCCCTGGGAGAGTCATGAGAGAGATAGCATTCATTCGTCTGTCGAGTTCACTCTTTTCTACACACACATACACAGCAAGCACGGGCCTGTCATAGTAACTCACTTGCCCAGTAGCAGATGCTTGGAGCAATGTGAGAGCCAGACTACACCTGCTCCACCTCTGCGTCCTGCTCCATCCACCTCCTTTCTGGTCCACACGCCTAGCTCCTGCCTCTCCCTTTCCGGTTTCCTTCCACACAGTGACCACATTTTGGAGCCGTTATCTACAAGTACGCGCAGAGAAAATTAGAGACGGTTTATTGCCGTTTATACAAAGTGTGAATGACTAATTTACTTCATAATCATCCGTGTGTTGTCCCAGATCCAGAGCTATAAGTGCGTGCAAATAAGGTACTGTTGATTTCCTTTGAGTCTGTCTGTAAAATGAGAAGCTTTAAGTTACCTGTTAACCCTGGTGAACTGTCTTGAACAGCGACAAACTTTTCCTTTTAACTTTTTACAGCGACTTGCTTTTAATTAAGAAACACACATGCTTCTCCCAGGCTGCTGTTGTCCACCTATAAAGGACTATTTACACACATTCTCCTTCTCAACATGTGAAGACTTTATGCATAGCTATTGGTTTATGTAGCAGTGATGGAATGGTTTATGAATATGCACAAGGTGTGTGTGTGTGTGTGTGTGTGTGTGTGTGTATGTGTGTACTATCCACCTGTGCAATTCCGACTGTTCTCCCCTGATCAAAGGTGAAGCAGTATAGGCATCTCATTAGGAGCTGCCGGAGCTAATTAACAAATTAATCAGCCTATCTCGGGAAACCAACCCTTTGCCAATCAGCAGGCCTGAAGGAGCCAAGCCTCGAACCTATAGGGATGGCTGCACCTAGCTGTGTATCTTTCTGCTGTATTTGCTCTCTGCAGCCCTGACATGCCCACTCAGACACGGCTGGACGGAAACAAAGACGGCTGATGATAATGAACGTTCATTTTGCTCTTCAAACGGTGCTGTCTTCAGGATGGATGCACGTGGGTGCACATTCATGAACACGCTCAAAGGAGTTAATATTTTGCTCTGGAAAGCTCTGCAATCTGTTAAGCCGTGGATTGTAACAGATGGTAACTCTAAAACGGTGGTCAGCAAGCTGGAGCTTCTTTGTCACCAAGCACTTTTCTTTTTTTTCCCATGGTGAGCTAACTGTACACTTGTTGAACAGTATCTCAAGCCACACACAATAAACCACACATTTATGAATAAAAATCTATTTTAAAAGCTTTGATTTAATTAAGTGGAGGAGATGTGTTTGCTTGTAATCCTGAGCACATTCACAGCTTTCATTCTCACTCTCCCATTTGTTCCTGTTTGCACGCGTATGTGTCGACAGCATCTTAAAGCCTCTCATGATCTATCAGCTAGTCCTTTTTGCAGTGTTTGTACATTGAAGAATCTCTTGATAACAATTGACTCTTGAATTAGATGTGAACACAGTTAGACAGACACTTGTTTGGTGTGAAATCCAAAGGTTTACAGTACCAGGCGAAGCCTTACAACAGTAAGCTGACCATTTGGAAAGACTCCTTCATGAGCAGCTTGGAAACACATAGAACTCTTTACATATTGATACTCTTGGGTCTGATTCAGAATGTTATGCTCATGAAGTCTGGATGGTGTTATGGAATACTTTAGTAGGTCGTATAAAACCAAAAATATCAAAATTAGATTGATCAGTCTGTGAAAATGAATGGAATACTTTTGAGACAGACTTGCTTAAGTCCTGTCATTGTTTAGACTCACTGTCGAGGTCATTTTACATGTGGTTCAGACAGTCAGCAATGCCTCTTGTTGAAGGCAGCTATGAAATAAGGGTTTTCCAAAGCAAGCGACATTGAATCTGTACAATCTGTACCAGTGAGTGGTGTGGGGTGTCATGGTCAGGAGGTGATTAAGTGGTTGAGTGATATCCTGAGCTACTGAGAGCTTTGTTATCTCAGTCAGTGAGGTCGTGTGCGGGGAAACCAATTAGCCTTGCAGCATTGTTGTTGATGTGTGTGAGTTTTGACCAGTTAGTGGCAGAGTTCACGTTGAATAAACAGGAGGAACAGTACAGTAGAATAGATTGGATGTTAATCTGGTCCAGCAGGATGAGTAAGTGAAGGGAAACAAAGATGACGGACCCTTTGGTGGCTTCTTTTTTTAATGGTGGTTGTGTGTTGATCACACATGAGTTCATTGTCCAAAGTGACTCATAACCAGTTGTTATGAGTTGCTCAATACATTTGTTGGGAAAAATTTTAATCGCATAATATCAAACACTTCATTGGGCCTCAGTAAATAATATCAGCGTATGAAAAGACATAACACACCTCCTTCAAACAAGTACTGGAAATGTTGTCACGCCTGTGGGAAAGGCATCCAGTGTGTGTCAGTGGCTTGCTTTGAATATGCAACCTCTTTAGTAGTTTCAACTGCTCTAAGCTCTTCACAATACAAGTTCCACTCAATCGCTCATATATTGATGAAACATCAGAGAAATTGAGGGCTCGGTATCTTGTATCAGTATTTTCGCATGTTAAAGTGCTGTTGGGCACTTTAACACGCAGATGGGAAGAGCAGCAGATCGAATCTTACCCATTAAGGGACCACCTGTTTTTCCCTCCGTGGTGCTGTCACACCAGTCTGGTTGGACTCCACATTTTCCTCTCAAATCTGTTACTTTATGTTATTTTGCCTAACTTAGTTTTTTTTTCGAGCTTCACCTTCTTCCACAGTGTTTTGACTATTGTTTTTTTTATTAGAATGTTGTCACTGTGATGGCACGTGCCCTTTAAGAAGTACATTTTTCCAAGGATTTTTCTTTCTAATTTAATCACTAAAATAATGGATAACGGTAATAACTTTAACTTCAGTTGGTAAAATCTGTTTTGAACAGTTTGTAAATAATAAATGCAGTGCTTGATTACCAGGTGTAAGCCCCATCATTTGAAAAGCTGCATGAAATTGTTAGTTTGACTGGTTTATCAGTGAGTGAGGGGTAGGACTCTGTAAGCATGCATAACAGAAAGGAAAAAACAATAAACCAGTTATGACTTGTGACTGTAATGAAGCAAATGTCTGTGGAAAAAATACTAAATCCAACCACAGTTGAAGTATTTTGTCCCTACTCTCGCATATCTTGCATTACACAGCTGTCTGTAGGGACACAACAGGAAGCTACCTGAAATGTATTCTAGCTCACAGAATCCACACAACCCTTTCTGCTGTAGTTAGTGTAAGTGCTACTGTACCCGCAGGTCCAAGCCACAACAAGGATGTGCGATGTATGATCCACCGACTCTCTCACAATTCCGCACAGGAACACCACCGACCTTTGTGAGGCATTTCACCGAGTTATCCTCTGAACTGTCAAATATTTGCTCTAAGAGCCACAATACAAAAGTGTAAAAAAGTTCATTTGATCTTTTGTGTTTCTTATTGTCCCAGGTCTCAGAGCACTGGTAAGTTGTAATACTGGAGCAAATTTAAAGGCGTGACATCTTAAAGGTTCAATAAACTTAATAAAGTACTTACCATGTGAAGAAGAAGAAGTTTAATCTGGTTCCAAATGAGAGCACATTTTTTTCCAAACTCTTGGGTTCCGGCACTTAGTCCAGCTGTGTGTGCAAGATAGCTCCTGCCCTGCAGTACAGAGCTGGTGAACTTCCAGATTTCTCTCCTCAGAAACAACCACAATATTCAGCTCAAAGCCTCCCATAAAGAGAGGGATGAGTCCACTTGTTTTTTAACTTAGATGGAGATGGAGGCTGCTTCGAGGATTTTACATCCAGGCTTTATTCTTGGCTTGTTTTGGGGTTTCTGCTGGTCAAGTCTAACAGGCAGTATTTTTTTAGTAGCTTCATATTGTAACTCTAACGATGTTCATCTGATTTTTAGCATTTGCATAAATAATGCTCCCTGGCAAGAAGTGTTTTACCACATGTCACTGTAATGGTAAATAAACTGCTGCTGAGATTTGAGACTTGAAATGAGATGACAGTTATGTCTGTCGAAGGCATTCTGTTTTGTTTTGAATTGCTTTGTTTGTTCCCAGAATGTCCATTCTTTTAATTCCTCCCAACCTCGTGTCCCTCTGCACCTAATATGACCTCCCACGCAGCACTTAATGTTTCTTTGCTTTCTTGTATTTTAAGACAATGTGCTTATTTAATTTTGAATAAATAAATAAGATGAGACCTGTGATATTTTTCATAATCTAGAGTATGATCAAACAAAGGGAAGTTGCTTTACACATGTAAACATGAGATGTCTGTGTGACTGCAGAAATGAGTTGGCTCTCAGTGTGCTTTGAGCAGATGTGAGTTGTGTAAAAAGTCAATTGGAATTGGCAACTTATCTGACAAGTTGGCAGTGCTTTTACCCTCCCCCCCTCCGTTCTCAATTTGAGTGTGGTAAATTGAGTGCAGCCTGATATGGGAATAAGATGAGGGGGTTTGTTTATTCTTTTTCCTCCCTCCTTTTTGGCTGGCTTTTAAGTTTGCAGATGTCAGCAGATCTGTACATTACTGCCACATTTAGAACTCTACAAATGTGCTATTGATAGCCAAATGGCAACAAAACATTTGAGTGCGTGCCTTAATCTCAGAATTGCTTCATCATTTTACATCAATGGCAGCACAGCATATATAATGTCTTCAAAGGGAACATGACAAAAAAAAACGTGTCAGGTTCAGAACACGTTCTTCCTTAAGCTCGCAGTGTACTAGACGGTGTTCAGAAATGCATAAGTTATCCCATGGATAATGCATGACATAGCTGAAGTGAAATATCCTAAGAACCCTCTAGTCCATCGATGCTATTCATATAGTGTGCAGGCCCTGTGTGTGAGCGTAACCAGTTTCCTAGCAGGGAGCTCTGTTATCCAGCTCAGCTCTTTGCTTTCCATCTCTCAGAGAAGATGGGAACAACTGTGTGACAGGAGTGCTAAGACAATGATTATGTTCAACCCTTCCATACCTATTCATGAGTACAAAATGTCTTTTCGGACACAAGTTTTCATGTTTCTGATTTCCTGCTTGAGATACAATGGTATATGTTCCCTCTCTTATGATGGGAAGACACCTTCACAGCCAATTCAATCAACTTTAAGATCCCCAACGTGCATTTCCATCCCAGCTTAGGGCTTTCCAACCTATTGCTATTTATTTATATTTGCTGACCTCACGTTTTCTTATCATCCACTTCCTGCTTCCATCCCCACTAACATTAAGTTAGTAATCCCCTTCTATTATTCCCCAAGTGTGTAATGAATATAATTTTTTTAATTAAGTTTTGTCACCAGTAAAAGGAATCTAATTTAGTAATTTCTGTCTTGTGTGTCTAATTACGACGTAAGCCATTAGTCCTAATCAAAAGTTCTTAACGTTGATTTCAGCCCCCTTGAAAAATAGATTAAAGTTGAAATATCCAATAAGATCATTAAAAAAATCATCTTCCACTTTCTATCTCATGATAATAATGAATCATTGTCCGCATGAACATTTATCACACATCTTTCAGGAGAAAAGTCTAAAAAAAAGAGTGTACTCATACTTGAAATTTGTCTTTTTTCTTTATGATATAATATTTTTTAAATGATCTACCGAGGTTTATGATTATAGGTTTATTGGAATGTTGTCTTTCAGGTAGAGGAGCCAATCTTCTGCCAACTACAAGGTTGATTACTATTGTTAGGACTCCCAAGTGATAAGGGTGGAAAGTTAGATTAAAATAATCTGGGCTCTGTATTGGCTTGCCCTTTCAGACATTGTATGTCTCACCTCTGTTAAAAACTAGCCAGGCATATTGCGGCTAATCAGTTGCAACTCAATTTCAATGCACAATGAAGGCTTATCACTCCAGTCTTGAAATATGTAATAAAGCCCTGTGCTTTTTTCTGTGTAAAATCGGAGGAATTACTCCGATTTTTCACAAAAAAGGATGACTCTATATCCCCAAAATAAAACTGTTGCACAACACAAATGCAAACATGGAGGGCATACCGATAATAAAGAAAAGCTAAAGATATACTGTATATAGCTCCTCTGCCGAAGGTCTGGCTCCATGGCATTAAGAAACTTCAATTTCAAATACGTTATCTCAGACTTGTACCTGTGGAAAGAAAAAGTCAAGGTTGAAAAGTAAAAAGAAAATATTATATGAGCAAAATGTCATACTCAGCATGAATTTGATGTATTTTCTGTATGATATGAAAATCAGACAGAAATGTTAGACTAATTTGAGAAGTTAACAATAACCTAGCCTATTTTCTTTTCTCTTTTTTGTGCTTTGCTTAAAAAACCTATTAAAACTCCTTCCATTTTTTGGAGTGAAAAAGTGTTACCTTATTTGATATACTGTAACTTACTCCGACGTGCGAATCTGGCAGTAGTCGGGCCAGACAAACTCTTTGTTGGAGATCCAGTTCTCCTTTTATTCAATCCAACGGAATCTTCAATCTCCTCCCCTGTTACAAAGGAAACAGATAAGCACAGACAAGCCCATCCTACTTCCTCCATGCACCCTCGTGCACTTCTCTTTCTGTGGTTTACTGAGCTAGACAGCTCAGACGAGGGTTCCCATTGAAGCCCACTCTTTTTTTGTTTCACACTGTAGCTCTCCTTTTACATCTCCACCTTCATGTCCTCCCTATCTTCACTTCCTCATGCCTTACCCTCTGCCCTCTCGCCATTTCTGTGCCCCCTGTGCCCTGGGCTGTGTGGGGCAGGTCAGTTCAGATCATCCAGATGAACAGTCAGCTCCCGTTATGACGGCTTGTCTAAGTGAATACACCTTCCTTTCTTGCTCTTGCCTTTTTGACCCTCTTTCCTCTCTGTCTGTCTTAGAGGCAGGTTTTCTAAACTCTTACCCATCCAAACTGGGTCTCCCACTACACTCACACCTCTACCCTCCCCACCATCCTCTTCTTCTTCCATCTCATGCTTCAGTCCTGATGTTGTCAACTTCCCTTCCTCTGTTGTAACCCTGCGCAGGCTCTTCCATCTATCATAAGCTCTTCCTGTCTTTTCTCATTGCAATGCATATGTCTCAAACTCTAAAAGCTGTCCCTCCATCTCTGTCTCTAACAGTTCATCTGTCTCCTTCTTTCTCCTCCTGCGGGGCACCGCAGCCCCCTCCCCATCACCACCACCCTTCCTCTCTCCCTCATCCATCTCTAGCTTTCTCCTTTTTTTTCTCAATTTCTTCTCTGTTTTGGTGCTTCCTCCTAATGAAAAGATCCATTCATTCTGAAGCTAGGAATCATTTGTCTTCATTTTCTTGCATTACAAGTAGCCTGTCTGTACATTAATCTTTGGTTCTCCTCTTGTCTTTTTCGCCCTAATCTGTCATCTATCTGTCTCGATATCAAGCTCCTAACTTGAAAGTCGTTCTCAAATCAAACTCGTCCTCATCTGATATGTATTCCAAGTCTATTTATCTTTACCTTTATGTTCACTTGGATTGAATCTGTCTACAAGTTCTAAGGAATTGTCAATGTTGGGCAGAGATAAAGCCTTCTTGAAATTAATGTTAATCTGCATCAGTACACATATAACTACATTCAGCAATGGAGGATACTGTGATTCAGGGCAGTTATTATTACATTTAATTTAATTCACCTTGCAAAATCACCTGATTTTATAGTTCCTGATGCATTTTTCATTAATGGTAACCAACAGTGGACAATATAATACTGTATCTGTAACTCATCCATTCTTATGACGATTGTCCAAGACTTGAGCACCCTTTCAACTTCAAAACGGTTCAGGAAGGATAATGTGAATTCCACTTCCCATAATGTCTTTGCATTTGATATTTTTATTGCATTATTAATGCAGATTACCATTTACAAACCATACCAAAAAGAAAAAAAGGAAATTATGGCTGTAACCGTAATTGACTTTCAACACAAAGTGTAGCACTTTGATTAAATTGTAATACTAACCAAAAGTTGCAAGATAATGAAACTCGGTGCATCCAGTCAAATCACTGGTGCATATATTTTAGCCTTGGCTGAATGTTGAAGGAGTTTTGTTTCTTGCTAAACTCTTAACATGGAAATAAGCCACTGCACAGCTGTCAGGGGGTAAAATTTCAATCCTCCTCTTTTCATAAATGTCCACTTTGTAAAAGCTGATGAACTGTTACACTCCAACCAATGAAGTCTGTCTTTGTAGTCAAGTGTAAAGAGAGCTTTCTGAGAGGAGAGTGTAATCTGTCAATTTATGATTCTTATTCTGCTGATTGGTGTCATCGGCTGCCATTATTGAAGGTAATGGCTCTGTTATCTTTTCTTCCTATTAGTTTTCACTCTCAGTTTAATAGATGTCACAGTTTCTTTGATTAAAATGAGTAGTTGCGTAGCTCTGGCACTATTCATTTTTCCATCTTCAATCTTTAGGGTTGGCATCACCAGGTCCCTTTTTTAATTGGGTTGAATTATCAGTTAGCATCAGTTGGT